ATACTATCATATGCCATCTGCTGGGGCTACCAAAATAGAAAATAGTCCTTACGTAGGCTACAGAAAATGATAGTGTATTATGATAAGTACTCTACTTGAAGTATCCTCTGGGAGTACAAAAGAGGCACTCCCAACTAGTTTGAGAAGATCAGGGAAGACCTTTTAGAGGAAAGTAATGCTGAGCTGGATTGTGAAGAATAAAGAAAAGTTAGCCAAGAAAAGGAGGTCGATAGTTGTACTAAACAAAGAGGGCAATGTTTTCCCAAACCTGGAGGCAATAGAAAGAATTGCACATTTTTCGTTCATGTAGTTCAGCATGGCTATAGCTTGGCTACATAGGGTGTGTGCAGGTAGGAGATAGGTTCAATAGGGTCAGATTTTGAAGTGTCTTATAAGCCCAACTAAGGAATTTATATATTATTCTAAAGGTTATGGGTTGCTGTTGAGGAACTTTTAAAATAGGACTGGATAAGATTTATGTTTTTAGAAAGACCACTCTGTCCAATTGCTTAGAGGGTTAGAGGTTGGTAAAACATGACAGAGATACTACTATTTTGTTGGTTCAGTTCAAATGTGTCAGTGCTCCAAGCAAGATGCCATTCATATGTATAAGGAGGTTTTATTCTAGTAGTAGAATATAAAACATTTTACAAGGCATTACGTGAGCCTGTTTGAAAGTAAAGGTTATATAGTTTTTCTAAAATTTCTTCCTAATTTTTTATTTTGAAAATCTTTAACTTACCAAAAAGATGAAAGAAAAATATCACAAACACCTATAAATACTCTTTATTCAGATTTATTATTAATCTCTTACAACATTTGCTTTTTCTTGCAGGCTCTCTGTTCCTTGCTGTCTCCCCTCACTTTCCAAGCATTCTACACACACATACACGCGCGCACACACACACACACACACACACACACATGTATGTGTGTATGTATATTAATATAGAGAGACTTTATTTGTTTACTGATCCACTGGGAATAAGTTGTGGATGGGATAACTTTTCCCCTAAATACTTTAATATGATTTTCTTAAGAATAGGAATATTCACAACCATAATACCATCATCACACCTAAGACAGTTGACATTAACTAATTAATGTTATATAGTATTACATTCTATATCCTGATTTCCCTAATTGCTTGAAAATGTTTTTGAAGTCTTTTTTGCTTTAACCTTAAAAAAAAATCTAGTATTCTATCAAGATTGACATTCATTGCCTTTGCTTATTAATATCTCTTTAGTCTCTTAATTAGAATAGTATCCCTCATAGCTTTTTATTTTTGTATTTTTTTTCAAAAGTTCAAGCCAGTTGTACTATAGACCATCTCACATTCTATATTTGTCTGATCTAGATTAAACTATAAATTTTTAATAGTTTCTTCAGATAAAACATGAAGTGTGACTATAAAATAATGAAACTGCAGTATGGCTTTCAGAAATGGTAGGTGTTTCTTGTCTGTAGCAGTAAGACATAACCTGGTACCATTTCTATAAACAGTGCTTTCATAGTCAGCCCTCTACAAGCAACTTTGAAAAATAGAAGAGTACATTGTTTTGTGTCCCTTTGAAAAAAATAGCTGTTATACAGGGCAAGGAAGGAATTTTGTTATTATTTAATGAGATACTACAAATGAGGTACTTGACATGTTCACTAAAGCTCAAAGGAATAAATAATGTCAAGAATTAGGTGTTTTAGATAACACAAAATATATAAAAAGGGTAGATACTATATATAAAATTGATTTATGAAGCACTGAAAATAGGAATCAGGAGACCTAGTAAATAGGAAAGACATTTTAGGACCTTTTCAAATTTTGTGTTTTCTGTGTTATATGAGTTGCCTCCAGTCCTTAGAAGGAGGCATGGGTGGATTGATGGAAGAATGAATAAATGGATGGTCATGAAACTAATGATTTTACAGTCACCTAAACAACTTATGGAAAATGCAGATATTAATAATGTAATTGTTACTAATAATGTTAGCAGATACTAATAATGTTTTTATTAGCACATGTGTTAGAATCTTAACATTTCAGAGCTGGAAGAGATATTAGTAATGAAATAATTTTTGTTCCTTTAAACCTGAGGAAACAAGCACAAAAAATTTAAAGTGATTTGAATTAGTGACAAAAAGAAATAAAATTTACTTGCTCAATTCC